AAAGACTGAAGTTATAGCCCAGTGATCGAGCATTTGCCTAACTAACACAATGTGGCCCTAGATTCAACTCTCAGTGTCGCAAAACAAAATCAAAAAACACCGCCCACTTGATAGAGTTGTGATAATTAAATTTGCCATTTATAGAAGTTGCTGAGAATAGGCCCCTGCACATAAGTGGTCGTGAAATGTTGGCAATTACTTCAATTTCTTATTGTAACAACTAATCAAATTGTCTTTATCAGTGCTTGCTGGAAAGCAACGTTTTCTTACAGGGAACAAGCTGCCTTTTGATATGCAGTTATATTTTATTATGAAATAATGTAAACTACTCTAACTTGGAATTAAATCCTCTTCTGTGCTTCCAAGTAAAGGTTAAGATCTGAATAAAGGCATATGTAGGCAACAGGGATTCCCAGGTCTGTAAATGTCAGTGATTTGCTCTTTTCTCCGCAGAGTGCAGAACCTTCTTCCGCGCTGCCCATCCTGGCTTTGAGACAGCTAAGCAGACAAGAGAGGGAGAATTAAGCCAGCTCTGTCTCTGCGCGAGGTTGTCTCTGTAACGTGATTATTAGGGACAGCATTTCTGCCTAGTGGCCTTGCACACAGCCACGTCCTGACAGCCTGTCACACCGGTGGGCTTCATGGATGTCCTCAGAGCCGGGAATGCTATAGGGACTTCTGTGTGTGGCAGCTTTACGTGTTGGTGCAGGGTGCAGGGTGGCTGGGAGGTGATGGCAATGGGGACTGGAGCAGCTTGTTGAGCTGGAGAACAAATGGTACTGTTGCTAGGTCTTTGGCTCTACATTCTGATCCTTTTAACACTTTTATTTTTTTCTTCAACTTCTTCTACGCAAGTGGTGGCTAATTGGGCATGGAACACCTCCCTTCCTGGGTAGTTACAGCTAGGAGTTATGTATGGGGTGGTAGCAAAGGCTAGGACATGCTTAGGTAAACATTCCAGTGGTTCTCCATGCCAGGCCATTTGTGACTCATCGGAGGAAGGAAACGTGTAAGGACAGCAGCTCTGCGTACACATGGTTCCACCAAGGTCTGCATGGTTCAGCAAATGCAGGGGCAGCTAATGCATCATGAAAGGCCCCTCACAGAAGAGCCATCATGGGCTTCCAGGGATGGGCTTGGTTGCCAGGGAATGGCAAAATGGATGACCGTAACAAATAGGCATTGCTGTATCAGGAGACAGAACCCAATGTATTGTGCTGGGGAAATGGCAGGTAACTGAGGCTCCATGGGGATGGTGGCAAAGGCTGGGCCTAAGAGTAATGGGAACTTGGCTTGATTTTGAACTATATCGTCTGTCATGATAAGAAATATTCATTTCAGAAGAATGAGTGTAGTGAGCAGGTTGAAAACAGGGAAGAACTGAATAAAGGGAAGTCCGAGAAAGAGGTGGTGGGGCTGTTTCATGAGTAGGTGAGTGGAGTGGGTAAGTGGATAACGTAGACATTTGGAGTTAGACCATCAGCATTCAGTGAACAAAATGAGAGGTTGGGGAGATGCCTAGGGTGGAGTCTTGCCACTGTGGGCAGGAGGAGTGGAATCTACGAGAGGGTTGAACGGTGTAACGGCAGGGGCATGTTTCCACTAACACCGGTGTGCAGCAGTGTAAATGGCTCCCAGGGGAAGGGCAAGATGAGATTGAGAAGACACCATGAAGCACAAGGATCGAGCTCATGGGGCGTCCTTGGAAGAAGTTACTTGGGGCAACTGCCATTGCGCAGGTAAAAGCTAGATGCTTGCCCCATTTACGTTGTGCCTTAGGGGCCTAACTAGCAACGGTGTGCATCTGTTCAAACCACCTGCTCTTCCAGCACATGGGAAAAGGTATTTGAAAATGGAGAGAAAGCTTCTGTGGGGTCTTAGCAAGTTCTACTTCTATTGCATTGTTGGTTAAATCCTTCTTCCATCTGAAGACATGGTTTCCAAGACACTGCCATAAATTGCCTCTGTGGACAGAGATCTGGGATGCGAAGTCTGCTTTCTTTTGACTGACCGGATTCTTCTCACTATGGTTGCCTCTTCAAGGTCAATCACTGTTGAGACTCCTTAGTTCCTTTGACCTTTGCGTCTGAGCCCTTTGGATGTGTCTGGGAGCAGACTTCTCTCTCCTGCAGCCATTGGAACTCTCTGTAGGGAGCCTCCTTGGCACTGACTGGCTTGGTCATTTGTCCATCGGGGGATGATTGAGAGGGAGAGAAGGGCCTCTTAAGTCAGCTGCCCAGATGTTCTCAGGAACTAGCTATTAATCCCACCCATACGAAGGAAGCCAGGAACTGGGATACCTGGGTTTAGGAGCAAGTGTATCCGCTCCTGTCTTCCCCCTCACACCCTTGATTGACATCCAGCCCCCTTAAGCAGCCACTTGTCACCACCCTGCGTCTGTCCCCCTCCTTCTCCCCACATCCTTCCTCTTCCCTTCCCCCATCTCATCGTATGACCCAGACTGTCCTCTCCTGCCTATCACCCAGTCTCTCCTAGTGCTGGGACTGCAATTGTGTAATTGTGAGCTATCAAGGCTGGACTGCTCTTTCTTTACTGTTTTTTTAAAGTTGAGATTTCAAGCCCATGGAGAGCTCCTTTCCCAACGTGCTGCAGAAGCATCACCGAACAAACAAACTTCTGGGAAACCCAGCTTAGAAACAAGCACAGCAGCTACCATTTATCCCCCCTTCTTCATTTCTTTCTAATGGTGGTGTAATAAAACCTGCTCTTCTAAGTGGCTTAGGCGGTTAATAAACTAAACATTTCTCCGTGAACTCCCAGAGGGCCTTGACAGTGTCTTATTATGGCTCAGTGCTGCTGTCCCCTAAAAGTTTTCCCCCTCTTGGTCTGGACTTCTGTGGACCAGGTGGGTGTCACTAGAATTTCTGGCATCTTCTCTTATTTGTTTGTTTCCTTTTTGGGTTCTGTAAGAGTAGTTAATGCTTACTCCGGCTTTTCTCAGTGACTGAAAGTTTCCTGTTTCTGATTTTGTTGGATATGTATGTGGAGTACATGTATGTTTGTATGTGTGTGGGCACCTGCACATATGTGCATATGTGTGGAGGCCAGAGGTTGACATTGAGTATCTTACTTATTACTCTTGTTAAAATTCCTTCCCTGGGGCCTATGTAAAGCAAGGTCTACCCCTCCTCCCAAGATCCCAAAGAAGAAGCAAGGCCTGATTCTCTGCAAAGGTCACTGGGAAACCAATGGATTACTGTGCTTCCTATGGAGCCAAGGGGAGGGGTTAACTGCAGGGGTGTGGTCACTCCTCTGCACACAGGCTGCACCTGGAAAGCCTTACCCAGCAGTGATGTAGGCTTTCCTGCCTGTATCTATATACTCTAGCTCCTCCCCCAGGCCATGTGCACCCTGGCAGGGGGTATGGAGCAGGGATTTCAGCCTAGAATCCTGTGCCTTGATCTGAGTCTTTATTCGGGGAGGGCGGGGGAAGAGGTTGTAAGTCTACCTGGGATTATTCTTTGCAGTGTGCACAGTTTAACTCCCCAACACAGCAGTTGCTTGGCTCATAGGGCTGTAGCTCCTGACACTTGCCACCTTCTATGACATAGGGTCTCTCACCTGACCCCAGAGCTCACCAATTCAACAGTGTAGCTAGCCTGCAAGCTTCCTCTGGGGGTTTCTCATCTCGGCCTCCCTAGCGTTAGGATTATAGGTTTGTCACAACACGAGCCTGGCATTTTTCATGGATGCAGATCCCACACTGGTCCTTTCACCTGCAGGGCCAGCCCTTTACCTGTTGATACAGCTCCTTAGCTTTCTAGGTGGAGTCTTTGAAAGATCCTTAAGCATTGGCTTGAGGGGAGAGGTCTGGATTAGTGTAGACAAATTTTCAAAAAGGCTAACTTATCTGCCACCTTCCTCGGGAATATCGGAGTGGTGTCTCTGAGGCAACCCTCTTCCACTTCGGTAATACTGTGGGTTTACACACAGGATAAAAGTGGTTACTAGGGCTAGGGATGTGGTCCAGTTCACAAAATACTTTGTCCAGAAAAAAATTGGCTATCTCTGGTGCCCATTAGCATACTTAAGCACACGCTGGCCTCAGGTTTCTGAGTGCCACAACTGCCCATGGATCTTCTCAGCTCTTCTCACCCCGCCCCTATCCTGGACTTCTTTCTCTAGTTTATGGGCCTCCCTTCACCCAGCTTCTCATTCCTATAGAACCCTGCCATTTTGGCCATGCACCTTCTTAGTTTTCTTTTGACTTTTTCTCTTGATGCTCCCTCTGTTGTCCCCCTCCCCCCCGCCATGTCCAAGTTCACTCTGCTGGCCATAGCTAGTCTACTACTTTCTCTCCCTGCTCTGGACTCCCAGATGCCTCTCTGTAGCCAGTCTTTTTCCATCCTGCCATCCAGCTCCCAAACAACCACACAGAGACTTATTATTAATTATGAAGGCTTAGCCGATAGCTCAGGCTTGTTTCTGACTGGCTCTTATAAGTTAAATTAACCCATTTCTATTCATCTACATGCTACCTGGTTGCTCACTTACCTCATCTGTGTACTGTCCATCCTGCTTTCCCTCTTCCTGCGGGTCTCCTGGTGTCTTCCCCATCCTCTTCCCAGCATCCTCTCTGCCTGGAAATTCTGTCTAGCTGTTGGCTATTCACCTTTTATTAGACAAATCAGAGTGGCACGTTTTCACTTTGTATGAAAGGATTATTCCACAACAGCATGGCAAGGACTCTGTGAAGTCATTTCCCCAGCCACCCCTTTTATTTGAATGGAAAGTAATTTCCTTTTCTCTGATTTAAATTCATCATAAAAGTGTGACGTAATAATAAAGTGAATCGGCTAATTTCAAAGCTGTGGTCTAATTAAACATTTTTTTTAAATTCATACTATTCAGTAGTTGCATCTAAAAACTGCCCTCCCCTCAAATTCAAGCGATTTAATTGCTTATTTTGAGTCTTTGCTTTTGATGATGACAGGGCCTTGCATGGTGTTTTAAACTTTGTTTTGTTGGTTTTTCTTCAGGACCCTGCAGGGATCTTTGAGTTGGTGGAACTGGTCGGAAATGGAACGTATGGTCAAGTGTATAAGGTAAGAACGTTAAGCTTGATCATGGCTTGTGTGTGTCGCTGGTTCCTGAGTGCCAAATAGCAGAGGCGTCCATACTTGTTCCTAAATGCCTCATCACAATAGACATCAAGTGACTTCAGACATCAGTGAGTTCACTCTCCACCCTTTTGGATGTAGCTGGGTTGAACTGACTGCGGGGGCAGGGGGCGGTTGTGTCTGGGGCTTGAGTGTCTCCTGCAGTGTACATCACAGTATTTGTAATGGGAAGCAAGCCTCGGATGTCGCTTATCTGGGGCTCATGAAGTGGTGAGATTCCTTCACTTTCAGCGTCGCCAAGCTGCTTTCCAAAGGAGCAGAGGACAACATTCCCTTTCAAAACTCAAGCTATTAGGCTTCTGCAGCCACAGAAGTGAATGTGTTACTCGCCCAGGGCACAGGTCAAATGGGCTCCTCACAGGGTTAGAAGAAAGCTCGCTCGATGAAACAGGTCTACGATGAACCCACAAGTTAGGAAGCAGTCAAATGGTTAGCTTGAGTTGGAATTGAACTGCTTGCTCTTTTTAAAATTTTGCCACAAATTCATCTAAAATGTGTAAAAGACGTCCTTTCTCCTAATAAATTATCTACTTTTTTTTTTAAAGTTATAGGTTGATTCCTCTTTTGATGATTGAAAAGAAACCTAGATAAACTATTTGGAAATAGAGTTTGGGGACATTTGGTAAACAAACAGTGTGTCCTCTGGAGCATTTCCAGGGAGTGGCCATTATTATTTCTATGAGGTGGTGATCTGGGATGGAATTTCACATACAAATTATATCTCGCTGTCCTGCTTTTAAAAATTCCTTCTTTTCCCTAAGCCTCTTTCAAGTGATCCAAAGTGTTGTTGAGGTTATCCAGACTGTGATATTCTCAGTCCTGTGGCGTTGTAGAAGTTATCCAGGCTGTAGTATTCTCAGCCCTGTAGGATGTCAAAAGAGCAGCTATGCTTAAGGGATCGTGGGAATCTAGTTTTCAAAGCACGGCTGTGAGTGGCTACGCACGGATGCTTTTATTGACCAGGAAGCCCTTTTTTGATGCCTGCAAGGGTGAGAGACAATACCCCCCTTGTGAGATACAACCGTTTCCTACAGTACTAAACCTTTCCAAAAAGACAGAACGGAGACTCGATGAGCTGTTGACTTGATGTTGATCCTGCCTGACACAGAAAGAGATGGCTCTCAGAAAGTGCTTTTAAATACTTGCAATGAAGATAATTAGGTTGGATGATTGTGTTATTGCAGCTTGAGAAATTGGATTGAACTCACGGTGTAATGTGGCTAATGAAGTCAACTCTATTCTAGACAGAAAATGACTGCTGATTTCTTGTCTATGTGGTGGAGCCACAGTCGTATGCTGTTCGTTTCAGGATGGCATGGGAGGATGCTTCCCACTATAGAGTGGATATGTAGGACACACTTAGAAGCTTCATCTACTAATCCGGCAGGTAGAACTGTGCAACCCTGCAAGAGGATAGAGCAAAGGTATGCGGTACTGTCATCCTGACATGGTCCAGGGTTTCCTAGAAGGTAAACCTCTGGGAATATCTGTAAGGGAGCTACACGATTCGGTGACCTGAGGTGGGAAGCCAGCCCTAAATTTGGTAGCGCTGACCTGTTTGTTGGGGTTTCAGACCGAATTAAAAGGAAGAAGTGAGCTGAGCACCAGCATCCAGCTCTACTTCTGACTGGGGTGCAGTCTGAGCAGTGGCCTCACATTCCTGTGGTGCTCCTTCTCCGCCTGGTACGCTGTGGTGGCCAAGCCGCGAGCCGAAAGAAATCCTTCCTTCTTTAAGCTGCTTTCCCCCACGTATTTTATCACAATAGTAATAAAATAATGAATGTAGCGTTCAATTATAAGTGAAGCCTTTTAGAAAATCCAGAATGGTGTCAAATTTCATGGCATTGCAGGAGAAACAAGAACCTAAGTCTGATTAAGAACTCAGCAAGTATTCAAGAGTCTCGCATCTTTCTAAAAGTGGGCTTCCCCAGCAAGTAGGTAGTTGACATTGTGATCCTAAAGGCTCCGTTTCCATTAGAAGAGGAGATTGCTGTCAGGTCCCGGTGAGGACAGGTGACCTGGAGACAGGAGATAGGGTCTCTTTCTCAGTAGCAGTTGCTGGTTTGTGGCTGCCACAGGTTTTCCTACTTGAGTCCAGTGAGAATGTAGCTCCAGAAGCTGCGCGGAGTTGAGCTTCCTTACCTAAGGAATCGGAACTTCCTGCTTAGTCCTGGGTTTGTTTTCTAGGCCACTGGCTTAGGCTGGGTGGTGTTCCTCACGGCCAGAGATGGTCCTGTTTCCTCGGGACCAATGTGGTCCTGATGTTGCCTAGCTGTTACAGGATCAAAGCGCAGCAACAGCATCTGAATTTGAAAGATGAGAACCCTAAGCTAATTAAATTGGGAACGGGTTTGCCCACCAGAATTTATAATTTTTGTAGAATAGGCACATTGATAACATACTGTAGGCTTGCACAGAAATTCTACAGCCTTGGGAAGGAATCCTTCCATGTGAAATTTTATTTCCACACAATTTTATTGTATGACAAATGTTTTCTTTACATTAAATATTAAACCTATTAATTGCTGTAATTAAGTTAATTCTGCAAATTTGCCCGTTGGTGATACTGAGCTTCACTAAGTAGTGTATAATTTTATGAGTAACTGAATAACCTTTATTCTATGGAATATTTATCATAGGATGCTTTAATAAGCTCTCTTATGAGAGTCACAGCCCAATTTTGTTTTCGAGTAGCTCCTAAGAAACATATATCATGTGATAAATAAAAAGTACATATTTTAAAGTATTTAAAAGTACTTTTTGGGTCACACCTGCATCAGAGACAGATACATCTAGCTTACAAATAGAAATACTTATACGGAAGCCATTAAATAATGTGTAACTTTCCAAAGCTCCCTCCAGCCTCACTCCCAAGTCTAGCTTATGGCTACATGTTGTTGGAAGAATTATCTTTAACAGTAATCAAGTGGTAATTTGAGTTAGTTTTATTCTTAATTTTATTTACTAGATGACATAGGCAAATAATTTGAAAAATACTTTTTACTTTTTCTTTATTTTTTTTCTGAGATAAGGTTTCTCTGTATAGACCTGGCTGTTCTGGAACTCATTCTGAAGGCCAGGTTGCCTCAAATGCAAAGATTCACCTGCCTCTGTTCCCAGAGTGCCAGGATTAAAGGTGTCCACCACCATGCCTGGCTCATTAGGATTTTTTAAAGAGAACAGTATTTTCCTGTGTCCATAGCCTTCTGTATAAAACAAACCAAAGGAGAATGGAGGGATTGCTCAGTGATTAAGAGTATTGACTCCCCTTTTAGAGGACACAGATTTGATTCTCAACATCTGCATGGTTGCCCACAACTATCTGTAACTCCAGCTTTGGGGGTTTCCACGCCCTCTTCTGGCCTTCTGGGGCACCAGGCATACACATGTTGCACAACCATGTATGTAAAAAACACTAACACACATAAAAAATAATAAAAATTAAAATAGCTAAAGAGGAATACAATGGGTGATAAAAAAAGAATATGCTTAAAGTACATTATATACCTGCATGAAAGTTTATAAAACTCTGTATGACAAAATAAAGCATCTAAGCAAATAAAAATCAGAGGTGTGGATAGTAGGTCTTCTTGATGTATTATGTGGTACTGGGGGCCAGGAGTCTATCACTCTGCATCTTGTCAAAGTCCATGGATAAAGCGTGGATTGTTAAGGTTAATAAGGACTGATTTACATTTGATAAATGAAAGGCAAAAGGAACAAATAACGTTCAGCATTCCATATAACACAGAAAATAAACAAACCTAAAAGCAATCAGTACAGTCACAAGCCATTTGCCAAAAGTTATGGCATTCCCCGCCCCTATTGGGAGTCCAGTGGCCTCTGGCCACACTATGGTGACACAGATTGCACTAGACACTTTTTTCTTGGCCTTGTGAAAGAGCACGAGCAGAAGCAGCTTTGAGAAGAAAGAGTTGATTGGCTTGTTCTCCATCGCAGCAGGGATGAATGGACACCCAGATGTATAGATGGAATAATCAAGAAGAAGGTCCCGACTCTCAATCCTCAAAGCCCACCCCAGTCTTCAGACAAGGCTCCACCTTCTAAAGTCTCCATACCTGGGCCAAACACCAGCTACTGGTGAACACGTATATGAGTCTGTGGAGGACACCGCAATATAGAGAGATTTTTTTTTAATAAGTCAAAATAATTAGGTAACACTTACTAGAAAAATTAGCCTCATGTTTAAAATGAATATTGGTCTACCTTATTTCTTCATTTCCGTCTGGAGGTGTAGACTGTTCCTGCAGAGGTAGAGGAGACACATTGTGCTCCAGGGTGACAAATTCAAATGGGAATATAATGGTTCCTCAATTTGTCTCATCTCGGTCCTCTTTGAGGTTGTGGAGCACAAACATGTTGGTTTTAGAGCTTGGGGACATTGCCATGGTACTGATAATTGTCCACTTGACAGAACTGTGATTTGCCTAGGAGGAGGACCTGTGGGCCTGCCTGTCAGGAGACTGTCTTGATTTTGTTGAGGTGAAAAGAAGCAAACACCACAGGTGGCTCCACCCCCTGGCTGGCATCCTGGGCTGTAGAGAGAAATGGAACTGAGCGACAGTTTGCGTTGATCCACTGTTGCTTACTGATAGTGCATACCATGTGACCATGTGACCAGATCCTCAGGTGGCTTGATTTTCTCACCAGGATGGACTCTAACTTGAGCTGTCAGCGGGAACAAACCCTTCCTCCCTTGTTGCTTTTGTCGGCACAGGAAAGGAAGGAGAAGCTAAAACAGAAAGGCGCGTGTGTTTTCAGAGGGCTGTAAGAATCCTCATGGGTCATTCACAAACGGTCCTCCGCTAGAGGGCTGTACTCTGGTCGCCTCTGGTCGCCTGGATCTCATCCCGTTCCATTCAGTTCATTTTTTCTGCTACTGTGGCTGATGTGTGCCATCTTAT